TAGCTTACTGTCTAGCTTAACTAGAAAGTTCCTGGCTAGTTTGCATTACACAGTGAACCAAAATAAACCATATTTACTCGGTTCACTAAAATAAAATGAGCTAAATCAAATCCTGTCTATCTATATCAAGTTATTAGAGCGCCTGCTGTTAACTGAGGGCAACCTACAAAACTAGATTGGCTGCTGTGACTGAGGGCAACAGCTAACTGTAACTAATAGCAACTTGTTGACTGTCCAGTCTGAGGTCAACAACTAAAGTAGACTTTTAAAAAATATGGTTGTTCCAGGGTTCTTTAGTTCTCTAGTTTAGACAGCGCTTCTGTATAGAACCGTGAACACTTAAAGAACCATTTGCATGCTTAAATGGTCCTTTGCATGGTGAAATGGTTCTTCAGACTGGTGGAGATGAAGGATGTTCTATATAGAATTTCTTTTAAAATGATTCTATATAGAACCAAAAATGATTCTTCTATTGTTACAGGCTGGCAGCCATAGGAGAGCCCTATTTGGTGCTATATAGAACCATTTGCAAAAAGGCTCCATATGGAAATGTAGACAATACATTCTCCGTTAATCTGAAGAACTATTTCAGCACGAACTCATGGTTCTAAATCCTAATCCCTCCATCTCTTTGAGAGTGTAAAATTAGCTAAATATCTAGTATTAGGTACTGTTTGTGTCACATAATGAATTGACATAAACCACATCTGCTCAATTCACTACAATAAAAGGAGATAAATAATGTCTACTGATATCAGGCTCTGTTATTAAAGTGTTCACAGCGTAGTGTTAACTAATGGCAACAAGTGAAACTACTGTGTGTTAACGGAGGGCAACAGCTAACTGTAACTAATAGCAATAAAGTTAACTGTCAAATCTGAGGCCGACAGCTAAAGTAGACTGTTATGTTTAAGGGCTACAGTACTAAATAATTTATAGTACTGAAGTATATGAAATAGTTGCTGCATCAAGCATGAAATGTTTCTGATTTAGGATTATTATATGCAGATAAAATGAATAAATAATTAATGAACAAATCTTACAGTTTTCCTTTAGAAATTATTCCGAAAACAATTTTTTTGGGCTATTTTATTTCAACTTTATTTAACCAGGAAATTCACATTGAGATACAAAATCTCTTTTACAAGTAATAAACACAAAGTGTAATAGAAAAATCTTAAAATTCCAGGTGTAAAACATTATATTGATGTTTTTATGTAAGAATCAACCTTCAAAAGAAAGCATCAAGATCAGTAGTAGTTTTGATGTTTAAGTATCGACCTGCCCTTTTCTGATTTAGACCATTTTCGCATTACTGCGTGTTGACATGTGTTGACGTGTTTGATGCAGGCTGTAAGCACGGCGCTGGAGCAGGTGGACCGCGAGAAGATCTATGAGTGGATCAATGAGCTGTCGAGGTTATTAAGGCCCCAATCCCGTTTCTTCTTTTTACCCCTACCCCTTGTTTTTGAGTGTCACCATAACCCCTTAGAACTAAGTTACAGGGTAGTGGTTGAAATCTTCCGTCTGAAATGGGACCCTCAAATAAAAAGAGCATCACTTCATTAACAGCTACTAGCGCTGCTCTGTAGGCGACGCTGCCAGTCTGCAGTGACAGCAGAGGAGGGTAAAGTTCAGCTCCTCACTGCTGGGCTTTAGTTACATTTAGGGACACATATGCCTTCAAAGAGGGGGTATAAGGTAATTATTCATTATACCCCATCCCTAATTCTTCAGTGATACGAAGTTGAAGTCAGTTGTTCACCAGCTTCGTTTGATTTTTCCCGTTCAACCTTAAATGGAGCAGCAGTTACGTTCTGGCGCTTCAGGCATCAGAACTGCTGGACTATTTAAGGTGGAACAGGAAAGTTAGCTAGCTAGCTACCGAGTCATTAGCATGCTGTTAGTGAGTTTTTATTCTTGTCATGAAGAAAACGACCATAATACACTGAAACGACATTAAACTAAGACGTTATGATGGTTATCATAATTTTTTAACTCTACAGTCTGTAATTGTAGAACTACAAAGTGCACCTATATAGTAAGTGGAGCTGATAAAATGGACAATGGGCGTAGAAACAAGGAGGTGCTCATAATGTCTGATGGGTGTGTGCTGTGTAAATATTCTAATAGATATACTTTTATTCCTACTCTTTCATACCTTAACTTATTGTATTTTTTTGTTTCTGAGTATGTTATGTCTTTTTATTTCTGGCTAATGTACGTAAGGTTACGCGCAGTTATGTCTTGCTGCTGTAACACTGCAGTTTCCCTTTGGGATCAATACAATTCTGTCTGTCTGTCTATGTATGTATGTAAAGGTCCACACTGGAGTGCCGGGAACGAAGAACCAACCCAGCATATTATCATGAACAAACTAGCTGACATTTGTCCCGAAAAGTTTTCACTCAGCTGCTGCTCCAATGAAGCAAGATTTAGTTTTGATTTAACAAATGGTGTAACGCACTAACACAATGTTGTCAGTTAACAGATTTTAAACAGTGTTGTTGTTGATGTGTATAGTTTTGTATCTTTGACACTGTTAAACGCTAAGTAAGATATGTGACTGATTCTCCCAGCAATGTATCTGATGCATATTTTTCTTTTGATGTTTTTTAACAGGAAATTGTGAACATCTATCTCTCCATTAACCCTCCCACGCTGACGGCGCACCAGTCCAACAGAGTGTGTAACGCCTTAGCTTTGCTGCAGTGTGTGGCTTCGCATGTAGAGACACGGTAAGCGCTGCACACTCCAGGGAAAAAAGCCAAATATCATGTACTGTAGCTAAAACAAAACTAATGTCACTAGTGTGCAGGTCCCATCCATTGCATCGTGGATGATACAGTGCTGTGTTATTGTTTTTATGATTAATTATGTCACAGCATGCGTTCCTGAGGAGTTCACAAGTAGCTTTATATCTAGAACACTGGCCAGTTGCATGTGTAATAGAAAAATAGATTTCAGCTACGTTCGAATTACAAGCCTCGTTGCTCAAATCCGATTTTTTTGCTCAAATCCGATCTCTCTGACACGATGGTTCATACTCGTTTAGGTAAGTGACTCAAATCTGTCATTAATGTGAACAAACCGCGTCCTGAAATGACCCGAATGCGCGCATCCTACTCAGTAACGTCACGTGAATGAGCAGAACGAGCTTCACTGTGAAGATAATTAACTCTGATCCGCTCTCAGCTTCATTATTAGAGTGAGATGAAGTAGAAAAAACGGTGAGATGAGCTGCTTTTCCACCGTTTACAGGCTTTAAATTCTGTTCGGCGCTGCTGCCATGGTAACGCTGAATGATGGAGCACAGGCAGTGGAAAAAAAAGCACATGAATTCTGATCTTAGCGTCACATTAAGGTCACATGGCCACAAATCGGATATGTATCCGATCTCGGAGCACATATGAAGTGACTCAGGTTGGATTTGAAAAGATCAGATTTGTGACTACACAGCCCTGAAAACATCAGATCAAAGTCACACTAGGGCAGAAAAATCTGATTTGTGCCACTTCAACCAGGTAATGTGAACATAGCCTTCGACTGTCTGTGAGACTGAATGACAGCAAGTGATGTTTTATGGCAAATAAACTCATCACATAAAGTACTAATAAGGAGCTAATTTGATGTTGGTCCTTTGTGCCAGTTTCTTATTTATTTTTACCAGTTTTGTTTTTTCCTCCTTTTCCTTGTTGTAAAAATCATTGTTCTTTTAGTATTTTTGTTTTTAGTATTTCAGTTTTGCTGGTGTCCAAATTGTTAACAGTGTATTAAGCATTATGAAGATTGTAGTATTCAAATATTGCATTTTTGCCATATTGTCCATTGCGATTGTGATCTCAGCATTCAGAGATTTTGAACAGCTCTCTATGTGTTGGTTTCTTCTAGATCAGTGTTTTTGGCAGCCCACATCCCCCTGTTCATGTATCCATTCCTGCACACCGTCAGAGTACCTTCGAGTACCTTCGTCTCACCAGCCTTGGAGTCAACGGTATGTGCCTTAACCTCTCTCACAGAACATTTCAAATACACAATTAGGCTGCATCGAATTTTAATAAGTCTTTCCTCCTCACTGCCAAATAATACAACTTCTGTGTTGATTTATCTGGAGGAAATGTTGACAGATCCTTTAATTCAATTCAAGATCTGTTTCTACAGCACACGAGCGTCACAAAGCAGGTTCAGAGAAAATCCAGGTCCGAGCCCCAAATGAGCAAGCCGAGGGCGACGGTGGCAAGGAAAAACTCCCCAAGAGCAAGAGGAAGAAACCTTGAGAGGAACCAAGACTCAAAAGGGGAACCCATCCTCCTCTGGTCGACTGGATTTGCTCTGAGCACCGACACAAAGTATCTATGGGACCACAGTCTTTTGGTGAGAGAGTGAAGTAAACCTGGGTGTCGTCAGGAGAACCGCGATAGGTGATTTTGTGTTCTGGCAGGATTCAGCCTGACGGGAGCACGAAGAGAGATTATGAAGATGTTAATGGAATAGATAAATGAGCTTAAAGGGGCCCAAGGCAGCTGATTTTCCTAAACCAGCAGAACATCCTGGAACAAATGGACGCTCTCCTAGGCTTCTCCTTTTTTGAAGGCACACTGTTGGATCCACCTGCAGAAAGAAGATTTCACATTCAGTGTTTGCATATCAAATAATGGAAATGGCTATTTTACTAAATATGTAGTGTCTGTTTTAAAGTTATATTGCCATTTATCTCAAACTTCACTAAATCTAAACTACACATGAATTTAATTAACCATGTAAACTTACTCATATCAGCAGTGCGGCGACTCTGCAAATGGTCCTGATCTGAAGTATGACCAGCATTATCGTCCTTTCTGGATTTCTGTGATGTGAGAAATTGATCAAATCATTAGCCTCGAAATCATTTAAATCTCGCCACAATTCAAAGTGTTAATAAGGCATATAATATCATGATGTACATAATGTTACTGGGACAAAATAGCACAACATTAAAACTACTTTAAAATAATTCTTACCTTTTTGAAGATGCTGAGTTTTGGCATCTTGAGATGGAAGATGTTCTTTAGCTTCAAGTTCATGCCTTTTTGTTTTGGGCCCTGCAGTTGAAGCATCTGCATCTAGATGCCTCCGTAAGGCAGTCATCAGGGCCTCGTCAATTGCAGAGTCTTGAGGGTCCAAAGCTTTGTGCAGAGAACCTTCCTCACCAAATCTTTGAAAGAGCTCAAGAAACATACCTGTTAGAACTTCCTCCAGCTTTGCAGCACTAGAGGATGCAGAGAACTCTCTGAGAATTCTCTCAATCAGCTCTTTCTGATCGTTCGAGCTCGCTTCTTTTGTCAGGTCTGATGAAGTTGCTGCTGACTGTGCCCGAGTCTGAAGAACCCGCCAAGTTGCGAGGATGGCATGATCCGAGGCAGGACGGTACAAGTCTTTAGGGTCTGCACTCTTAATTGCCCTGACAATGGAAACAGCCAGAGATCCTGTCAACAGCTCACTCTGGGCTTTTACTGTTTCAATGAGCTGATTTTCTGATCTCATTCTCTGAAGAAGCTCTGCGTACACAGCTTCAATGATGGAGCGGTGAAGTGCTGGCACTTTGTCCATCACACTGTTCACGATTACTTTGGAGAACGGATCCATTGTGTCAGCAAACACCTCAGATGGGGGTCTTGAGATCTCAAAACTCTCAGGAGTGACTCTGAAGGGCATCACCAGACTTGGAATGTCGTTAGCAGTGGTTGAAGCTGGTTGAGGAGCAATGCATGACCTGAGCAAACATTTCACCGGCTTGTCTGCAAATTCAACAAGAAACTCCGAAGCAAAGGGTCGTTGTAGGTAAGGGTAGTGCTGTAGAACAGACACTGACACGTTCAGAGAACTTAATCTGTCTGTCAGTATGAGCTGCACCATTTTGGCAATCTCCTCAGTGGCTGTGGTCGAAAACAGGTCCTCCACTCTTTCTGCTGCTGCAGATAACTCCTCAAGAGAGTTAAAAGGACCTGAGCTCTGTAAACCCAGGGAGGCCATCATGGTGTCCAGTAAAGAGGCCATTGAAACCCTCTCTCTGTTCTTGGGTGGCTCGTGTTCATCGATCACTGATGGTCTTTCAAGGTGTGATTTCTTACCAACACTTCCCCCAACACTGATCTCTAAAGGATTGACCTTAGGTGGTTTCTGCTGATACACTGCAGAAAAATCCCTGAGGTGTCTCATGGCACTGTTGTAAATACTACACACAGTGTACCACAGAATCTCCTCAGGGACATCAACACCTGATTCCATCCAACCCAAAGCTTCAGACCGTGTTTCTTTCAAACCATCTGGTGTTGTTGTAGAATCCAGATGTTCGCAAATTCCATCAATGACGGAATTGACAAGGTCGAATGCCTTAACCAAGCATTCAGACGGAGTTGGTTCCACACTGCAATCTCTTTGGCTAGTGTGAGCACGCTGGGAACGTGGAGAACTCACAAGGAAGCTTGAAGGCTCAAGTAAGATTTTACTCACTTCCTGAGCTGCCTTGGTCTGAGTATCCTCACTCTGGATTTTCTGGAAGCTCTTAGATGAGAAGCTTCGACGGAAAGAAGGTACCTGACGATCCAGGGCAGTGGCAGTTATGCCGTCTCCAAAGGATGAACCTGACACCTCTTGGATGTATGCCATTAAACAGTGTACAAGCAACTCTGATACGAGAGATGTATCAGAGGTACATTGTCCAAGTACTGACTGAGCATCCTCAGATACCTCGGACTTTGTAAATGAGTCCAGTTGGACTAACAGCTCATCCACAATGATTTTGGCATACAAGGACGCGTTCCTCAGAGTTTGTCCAGGAACGGAAGTCTCCATCTTGCAAGCCATATTTGTGAGTTTCATAAGGCTGGGGATTCTATGACAGGACTTAGCTCTTTTGAGGGATTTATCAGCCATGCTGTCGCTTGCACCACAGGCTGGATCAGAGCTGATATCATCACTGATCGATGAACTCAGAGAGGACGTTGCCATGTCAACCAGCTCTGATAGCAAACGTTCTGCAAAATCTGTCGCACACATCTTTGGAGGGCAAGACAAATCCGATGCACTCTTGAGTTCTTTGGCCTGATAGATGGTGTAAACCTCAAGAATTACATCTTTAGCACATTCCTGAAGTTGTGCCTGGTCTTTGGACGTCAGGTTCGCAGCACTGGGCTCAACAGACAGTGACAAATTACGGAGCTCAGCTGACCCACATGAAGACGCCAGGAGCTCAGTCTTTTCTGTCACATTTTTACGAAGCTTACACGTGAGAATCATCAAGAGCGTCAAGGATGATCTTCACGATGGCATTCAAAACTTCTTTGATGACTGACTCCAAAGAACGGTTTCAGGATCCTGGTCTTGCAAGGAAAAACAGCCTGGCATCCACATTCAGAACTTCACAAACTTTTGGAACGATGACTTTCTGTGATACTGTGGTCACAATCTTCTCAATGTCCATGTTCATTGTGGTGATTTTGTCCCTCGTGAACTTCAAGCAAAAGAACATATTGGCAGTATTAGTCATCACTAGCATTGTCTTACAGGGTTCATCTGCTGGGATTTCACAATAATGATATTAAAAATATAAATTAATTGTATTTGAATTATAAAAGCTCACCATTTGATGCATTCTACCAAGTATCAGTTGTAGTTGCCTGAAAGACAAAAGATAATGCAGAACAGCCATTTAGTGCTGATGTAACAGAGACAGCGACTTTTGCACTAAAGTGACGATCATAAAAGTACACAAATTCATCATTATTGAGTCTTGTCTATTTAACCACCCTAGAGAGAAATGTCATGTCTGTTAGCTTGTTTCATCACATTTTATTGGCTACCAGCAGTTAAAGAACCAGGATTAACCAATCAGGATTCAGATCTGTTACCATAACATTAATAATTAATTTGAAAGCTAGCCCACTGGCAACACAGCTGTAATGGAAGATAAGCCATAATAAATGCCATATATGTGTTTTATTCCTTATGCATAGTAATGTCATTCATATGTATATTTCATATCTGTGTACTTGTAAATACATTTGTACATTGTGCTGGATATTTGTATGTTTGTATTTGACAGTGTACATTTGAGTAATTCCTGGCTGCACCACTCAGTGCTGAGTACATATCGATCAGTCAGGCTCTGTAGGAAACAGGAGACGTCCTGATACTTAGCAGATTCTCCAGGCTCCGAGAGAGAACCTGCTGCTGTGTTACGAAGAGCTTTCTCTGCCATGTTAGACTCTCCTGAGATATTAAAACACAGAAAAAAAACAAGAAATCAGGGAATTTAAATACAGGTAAACCTACCAGATTACACCGTTACACAGAGTTACCAACTTCATCCCACAGCAGCCTTTTGTTTAGTATGACACAAACTTCAATGAGTTGCCACCATTTCTCCTGCTGACAATATAGCATTCTCCACAAGGGGGCACTATTAGTACAATAGTTTTCATGTGCATTGTTGAAAGGTAGGAAATCACCTTTTTTATAACAGAAATATTTAGCACGAGATTTTATAACAGAAATATTTAAATCTGTGGAATTATTTTGGAAGCTTTGTTGAAATTGAGCATTTGTACTTTTACTCAATTACAACAGCAAAAGAAAATATTCATTTAGACCCTCACAGTTCTTGTACTCACAGTACTAGAAGCCTAGTAATAATAACATCAATAAAATGTGTCAATAATCAATAAAACATCATGTGTGTGTGTGTCTGTGTGTGTGTGTGTGTGTGTGTGTGTGTGTGAATGAACCCCATTAAATAAAACTCTTAGCTTTTATTGATCGTCTCTAAGCCGTTCGGCGATGTTTATCGGTGCTGGTTGGAGTTTATTGCTGTTCACTGCTGACAGTTTCAGTGGGACAAATGAGCGCGTTCTCTATTTAGCTCCGTCTCAAATCGCTCCCTACTCCCTATCTAGTGCACTACGTAGCTCTTATAACAGCTAATAGCTTCTACATCCAAACAAGGTGCTGTAGATATAATAGAAAGTCATTTGGGATTCAGCCACAGGCTGCACGACGTCTTACTGGACATATAATTCACTATTTTGGTGTAGATGCCATCGTCTGACCTGCACTACAAAGGGAGCATGGAGCCGTTATTGTCTCGCTTTTAGGCAGCTTAGTTCACTATTAGCATAATGAGCTGTATTTGTTTATACTGTAAAACGCTGCTTTCACTGTGAGATGTTCTTCTTTTCTAACTCTGCGTTTCAAAAATCTCAGACGCTGCAGACTCGAACTCCACCGTCCCTCTGATCACCTTCATCTGTTAATGTTGATGATGAAATATTACAGTGATGGTGGTGAATAATGAGGAGACGGAGCTGAACGTGTGTGTGTTCATTAGGAGGAATAACGTTAGCGCGCTCGGCTAAAGCGCTTCTGATGCTGCATAAATTCTTCAGTACAAATTCTTAGCATTAGCAAATTACGCTAATAAGTGCCAGGCTGAAGCTTCTTATTCGCCGGTTTCTGTTTATAATTTCCCCGTTCCATCTTAAATGGTCTGGCAGTTACACTCTGGTGCCTGAGGCGCGTCTGAGGGGGCAGAATGTAATCTGGGCTATTTGGGCAAAAACTCAATTTTCACAGCAGAGGCTGTGTTGGATTAGAGCAACAGCAGCTCCTCCCCCAGTCCGCGCCCTGTTATCGCAGCATGTTGTAAATTTGGAGGCTCGATGGTACAGTTGAACAATGAAGAATGAAGGCAAAATACTGTTGACCATTTGAACCAATGGGGAACATCCATTTGGCGGGGCTAAAACTGGCCTAGTGACCAGTGGCGTTTCTACGTTAGAGATAGGTGGGCCTGGCCCCACCGGATGTCGCTGTGGAGCAGTGCACGACATGATCAATAATTCAGTATAACAACTAATATATATGTATTTTTCTTAGTAACTAACATTGTTGCGCGATTATTACATATGACAGTGGTCAGGCTGTCCAATACATTCCAAATACCTTCCTGTACTTGTTGTGTAAATGCCAGTAGGCTCCCTACTTCTCCTAGCAGGCTTGGTTTGATGAGTGTGGGGGGCGTCAGCGCTCATCTTACCAAGTGAGCAGTTAAAAAACAGTCTGCATGTTCAACACACTTTCATTAACCAGCTGTGGGGCCGATCACGCTGGCCCAGTGCTGAGAGCAATACAACATAATACATTTACATACGTCCAGACATTTAGTAACGTTGTTTTTGGTGTAGGTGTTGCTACACAGCTAGGCATTGTTCCCCATCAGTTTTGGTAGCCACTCATTAAAGCAAGGTAAAATAATGAGTCGAAAATGTAATGAAAGTTCACTTTGGCTCCAGCCATTAGATCTTAGATTAGAGATTAGATTAGAGAAATTAGAGATGAAACATTCGGGACACACCAGCCAGAGGATTTCAACATCATTCAGTCCGGAAAGGACAAAAACCGCCCCTTCAGTCCAGAGAGGTTCAAGAGAAAAACATGGCTAACTGTGAGTGTAGCTAAAACCACTCTCCTGCTCTCCTCGCCTGCCCACTTGAGTTCATTCATGTATTGGTGGATTTTGAGAGAAGGGTTTTTGGCAAGTTTGCCCAGGCTGGCTGTACCAAACCCCAGCTAACAGGTAAGGCAGCTACTCACACGGTTAATGACACAAAATACAGCCTAATGTAGCTGCTGATTTCTTAATAATGTTAGCTGCATGATGCTATACCATCTATATGCTAGTTAACAGTGAACTTCCTCATGCTAGTTGTAGTAAGATTGTAGGTAACAAAATACAGCTTTAATTTCTCATCTAATCACTAATACAGCCTATCATGGAGGCTGTAGTCTGAACTGAGCAGCTACCTGAACTAAACTCTTCTCCTCATTAAACAGAAGGTGGCGTAGTTGGGTGTTTTGTTATGGGCCACTGATGAAAGCACATTTTTCATTCGCTTTCATTTTGCGTTGGTTCAGCTCCTTTTCTGCTTTCCTCTTGCTCACATCTCTCACTCTGGAGCTCTTTTTAGACCAAAGCTTATGTTGATGCATCCAGCCATCTAGTGGACTTTATAACCATTGAATGGAAAACAGCAGGTAAGGCAAATTGACGCATACATACACCAGAACATCACTATCAGTCAGGTTTACTGCATGTTTCAGGTTGCAGAAGTTCTGCAAGGCCAGTATCAAAGAAATGTTCAAGAAAATCAAACTTTATTCTTAATTCTGTAAACTGGATTAGTTTAGAGACTGTAGCCCATCTGCTGGTGCCCAATGTTAGCCATACTCTAGTCCAGGGGTCTTTACTTAAAATTCAATAAGGTCCAGTTAGAGAAAATGTCCTCAAGCAAACGTCCAGAACATCATAATGTCTAACTTACATCATGACTCAGTGCCATATACTGTTTACTGAAGTAGCCTAGTAGGTATATCAACATCTTATACAGTCAACAACTGAATATCAAATCAAATAAAGTACAATTCAGTAACATTTCAACAACATTTATTGTGATTTTTCCCTTTTTAGATCATGACGTGTGAAATAACTTCCCTCTGACTCACTTTCTTCTCTGACTGCTGTTTCTCGCCTCGTCCCTCCCCTGTGTGTGCGTCACTCTCTGGAGTCTCAGTGCTTAACGTATTGCACAGATCTGATTGGCTGAGTAGCGTCACGTGTGATATTTACAACGAATGTGATTGGTCTGTGAGTCTCCGGCCGCTAAAGCTACCGTAAAGGCTAGAAGAGTTACGCTAATTAAAACAGGACCACATGTCGAAATGAAATCATTCTCCATTGTTTATCGGTTACAGGTCCAGGTCCGCATAGGACAGCGTCTGAGTCCGGACCCAGACCGCGGCCCGCCTATTAGTGACCTCTACTCTAGTCCATAATCAGTGACCAGTTTCTGATCATCTTTGAACAGACCTAAGTAATAAATGCTCAACATCTGTGGCCAGAAACTGGCCAATAATGAATGAGCAGAGAGTGACAGCAAACAGGAAGAGATGTAAGTGTACACCTGTATAGTGGAGCTGTGAGGTAGAAGTACAAGTGGAAGTACAAGTGTTTCTAATAAACTGGCCAGTGTGTAAAGAGAGTAATCAGCTGCATCTTTCTCAGCTCCACTCATCAGACTAAACACCACCTGACCATTTACAATCAAGCAGTATCAGTTTTTTCTACTTTTCTAATGAAACTAAAAGTAACCAGACAGCGTCCAGCAAAGCAATGTTGAAAAGATCAAAAGGAAAAAGTTTAATAAGAACACAGAAAATCCACGGCTGATCAAAGTCCAAACATAAATGGGGATATAAATCACTCCTACACACCACACAGTAACCAGGTTTAGAGGTGTTTGAAATACTTTAAAACAGATTTTATTTTTAGATCACAGTGACTGGACATTCTGATTGAAGAGGAAAATAAGTAAAAAAGATTTACACCCATCAGGCGTAACATCCTGACCACCTCCTTGTTTCTACGCTCATTGTCCATTTTATCAGCTCCACTTACTTTGTAGATCTACAGTTACAGACTGTAGTCCATCTGTTTCTCTGCATACTTTGTTAGCCCCCTTTTACCCTGTTCTTCAGTGGTCAGGACCCCCAGGGACCCTCACAGAGCAGGTACTGTTTGGGTGGTGGGTCATTCTCAGCACTGCAGTAACACTGACGTGGTGGTGGTGTGTTAGTGTGTGTTGCGCTGGTGTGAGTGGATTTTTAAACACTGTGTCCACTCACTGTCCACTCTATTAGACACTCCTACCTTCTCAGTCCACCTTGTAGATGTAAAGTCAGAGACGATAGCTCATCTGCTGCTGCACAGTTTGTGTTGGTCATCCTCTAGTCCTTCATCAGTGGTCACAGGACGCTGTTGGCTGGATGTTTTTGGTTGGTGGACTATTCTCAGTCCAGCAGTGACACTGAGGTGTTTAAAACTCCAGCAGCTCTGCTGTGTCTGATCCACTCAGACCAGCGCAACACACACTAACACAACACCACCAGACATCAGTGTTACTGCAGTGCTGAGAATGACCCACCACCCAAATAGTACCTGCTCTGTGAGGGTCCATGGGGGTCCTGACAACTGAAGAACAGGGTGAAAGGGGGCTAACAAAGTATGCAGAGAAATGGATGGACTACAGTCTGTAACTGTAGAACTACAAAGTGCTCCCATATTGGTGAACCTGATTAAATGGAAAATGAGTGAATACAAGGTAGATGTAAATGATAAAGTGGCTGTGTGTGTGTGTGTGTGTGTGTGTGTGTGTGTGTGTGTGTGTGGTGTACTGCACATTTCAGTTTGGTGTGTATTTTTCTTTAACACCTGTTTATTGGTATGTTAACTGTTTCCCTTTCTGCACTGACTATTCCATTTTGTTAGTGTTGGAGGCCTGAACTGTATATTTATGTAAGACCATTAAATCAGT